GTTGCTGTTTTGTTCTTTGTTTTCCCCTGTTCAGACTTCTAACCACAGGATCTAGGGCTTCACCTGGCACAGGCGCGTGCTCAGAATGAATGTGGAAGGACACGTTTTAAACTTAGTACCAGCTCTAGGCTAGTTACAATTAATTTGTAGACACAATTTTGTTGTTGTTGTTGTTGTTAGTTTATTATTTTTAGAGAGATTTTTGCTTTAGGGTGTGTGTACTCACCAGAGAGAAAGAGAAAGTGAGACAGAAAGTGAGAAATCACCCCTGGGGGAGGGGTGGCCATGCTGCAATCCCTTCTCTTGGGATTTTGGGCACGCATGCAAACACGCCTGGTGTGTTTTAAGCTTCTGGGTCCAGGACTTGAACCGTGGTCAACTCCATGGGAGTCCAGTGATGTAACCATTGTGCCACCTGCTGGTCCCAGTAGACATGATTTGAAGTAATGATGTTTCTAGATTTTGGTTCTAGTTAGAATTGTGTCACTTTCACACTGGTATCCTATTTGTCATACTTAGTAATTTAATCTTTCTGATCTAACTTCAGATTTTCCTTCATTTATACTCTTGTGATTGTCCTCATTTCCATGTTTGACTTCAAATAATCTTCACTTTCTCTGTGGCATTTAAATAATCTTAAATGCTTCTGGTGACAGTTTTCACCTTGTCAGCCAGTCAGCTCATTTGTTACAGTAAGTCAAGAGGTCTCCCCTCTGTTTTGTAAGCTCCTGTTCTTCTGTAGACAGTCTCTCTGTAAATTTGGTTTCTGTCTTCTAATAGTGGCTGCCCTTTGGGGAGTCCCCCCTAATGTATTACGGCTGCCTAAGATCAAGATCTGCTTTTTCTTTTTTTCCCTGTATTGTACGTGGAGCCCTCTTCATAATTTGTCATCATAATCTCCTGTCATCTCTTAAAGGCATCTGTGCTCCTCGTTTCTGTCGGATGTGAGAAAGGAACCAAAGCTTAGATTTAACAGCTGAGGAATAATGGGTCTACTTTGGAGATCAGCCTTTCTCCTGTTCTGAACTTCATTGCCCTTTCTGTTCCCAAATCCATTTCCAGTTTGTGAGATTGTATAACAAGTTTATGTCAGTCATCTTGTGGACTGAATTGAGATGCTGCTGAAGACTGGCAGTGAACGCTTTGGGCTACCTCAGTACTAAAGTGGGAAAGAAATAAAGGCTTGTCTTTATGTATCTTCCCATGGCAACGGTTGGACTGACTCACCGAAGCACACCTGCCAGGACCTGTATGTGGCTCCTAAACCTTTGATACGACAGCTGCTAGAAGAACGCATTTGTACAAAGGGTTTTGAGGGTTGTTTGTACCTTTAAGTAAAGAGTTTAACCAACCTACTAATGTAAAATGTGGTTAACCCTGCGTGGCTGTTCAAAGAGTTCATTTTACCTGAGCAATTTGGCTTCTTTTGAACAGTGTCAGAGTAGGCTGCATGGTGCTGTGTGTTTGAAATAACTGCCTTGCCTTAGAGTTTGGAGATGGATCTGACTAGTTAAAGGTTTAAAGTTAATCTGTTTTCACAAAGGAAAAGTATTCATTTTATTCCAGCAGGATAGTTCATCTGTCCATCCATCTGTCCTTCCTTTCTTCCTTCCTTCCTTTCTTTTTTAAGAGAGATTTTTGCTTTAGGGCCTGTACATTCACCAGGGAGACGGAAAGAAATCACCCCCCAGGTGGATGGCCATGCCACAATCCCTTGTCCTCTATTCTCCTCTTGAGATTTTGGGCATGCACGCACACGTGCTAGGCATGAGTTTCAAGCTACTGAGTCTGGGACTCAAACTGTGATGGACTTCATGGAGTTCAGTGACGTAACCATTACACCATCTGCAGGTGCCAAGAATAGGTATTTCTTTTTTTAAAAAGAAAAAAGCTTATGGGTGTGTGTGCTCGCTGGAAAGAGACAGAGGGAGGTGAAAGAGAAAGTGAGAAAGCATCCTTCCCTTGACACACCCCCAACTCTGGGCACCTCTACTCCCTCTTCCCCTCTGGGGCATGGTCATGTTGCAATCTGGGCAATTTCTCAAGCCACGGAGTCAGGACTTGAACTGTACAGTTTGCCATGTGGGATCCAGCTGCCTTAACCATCACACCACAGGCTGGCCTTATTATTTCATTTTAAACTGAATTCCTACTGTGGATGGTTCTGGAACTTCGATTCCTGTCCCTGCTCTTCAGGTGCTGACTAGGGTTTGTGCATGTGGGATTATTTCATCATTGTCCACATTAATTCTCGGACAGGGAAATTTTCAGCATTTTCATGGTTACCTGTTATTCCCTAAGAGCAAATGGAGATTCAAGTCTGGACTTTCTCTAATTTTCCAGCTGACTTTAGGAGACTATATGCATGGAATTTAGGTGTTTCACTGAATAAGTGAAAAAGTGACATGATTTCTAATCCTCTGCTTCTAACAGGAAGCATGGGTGGATTAATTACATGGGTGATATAATTAAGGCAAATCAGTTTTATCCAAAACAAACCCAGTGACTTGGAAACAAAGAGGGCTATTTACTGTAGTTTTTGTTGGTGTGGTTAATATCGAGTGCACTTTGCCAGGTTTTTTTCTAGTTGTATTATAGCTTACATTTCGTCCACAGAGATGTCTTTTATCTTTTGCTGGGTGTACCCCAGCCAAGCCACCATTTGTAATAAACCTGCCGAGTGACTTTCTCAAACACCGTCATGATTGCTAACTGCCAGGTTGTGTGTCTGAAGGCTGTATTTGCTGGCCTTGTTAAAATTCGAATTGAACTTTTATTGATAAATATTGAGCTAGATCTTCCTTTACTGAGCAAGTTCTATATTTATAAGTAGCTAAGTGTTTTGCTTTATTTGGAATCTTATCACAGGATGTTTTTAGTACGTTTGTTGGTAAGAGCTGTTCCTTGGCACAGTTAACCACATTGCAGTAGGCTGCCATTTACAAAAGAACCAAGTTTGTTTGCCTTTTGTTTTGTTTTGTTTGGTAAGCCAGAGAGCCAGAGGAGGGAGGGAGGGAGAGAGAGAGAGAGCGTGAGCGAGCGAGCGAGCGAGCAAGCAAGCAAGCAAGCAAACACTCCCCAGTGGGATGTGGTCATGTCGTTGTTATTTATCCATCCCATCAGGATTTGGGGCAAGCAGGCATGCACACATGGCTGGTGTTTTTCAAGCCGAGAACTGACACTCAAACCACCCTGTGGGATCCAGCTTTCTGAACAGAACACTTTCCATCTATGCTATGGGCGGCCCAGAACCCAGTTTTATCATGTATTTTCATTATAAATATATTGATTTTACCAAGCTTCCCCAAAATGAATGGAACTGCTTCCTTCAGTGGCAGGTGGTGGTTTTGCAGGAAAAATGATTAGTCAGATTATTGAGAGGTATCTTTTAGAAATACTGAAGGATTAAAAAAAAATTTTTTTTTTGTAGGTTGTTGCTATAAAGTGTGCTCGTGGAGAGGAGAGAGGCAGAGAGATATAGAGAGAGGGAAAGTGAGAAACCATTTCCTGGGGGGGGGGGAATGGCCATACCGTAGTCCCTTCTCCTCCATACTCTCCTTGGGATCTTGGGCACATATGCACACATACCTGGCATGACTGGGACTGGGACTCAAACCGCAGACAGCCATGTGGGAATCCAGCCACCTTAACCACCATGCCACCTGCTGGACCCCATTACTGAAGGATTTTAACTCGTGATATAATTTGGGTTTTGGAGCATCAGTAGTACTCAAGCAAGTATTGTTTTTCAGTTTCGCTTGTCATATTTTCTCAAATAGTTGTCTTCATTAAATTTGGAGGCCATGGGAGAGAGCAGTTACTGATTCAACTCCTTCAGTATCTGGGTATCTTCATGGAAAGTGAAGGGGGGTGTGTGTTAAACTGAGAAAACATGTACAGATTAGGAAATGTTTACTTTTAATACTTGGGTTTGTCGTAAGCCAGATGCCTACAGATAATTACGAATACAAGGTTGAGGAAGTAAATGCTTTTTTTCACCAGAAAGAGTGCAGGAAAATGAAGCATACTGGACAACCACATGATGTGTGGTATTGCCCTCCCCGTTGACTAGCGATCAAACCAGCCGCAGGAAGTCACTTTTCGCATGTGAGAAATAGAGCTCACCATTATTCATGTCTTTTGGGCCAGAATGTAAACTCTTTACACTGTTTGATGACAGTTGTCTTGATAGCCTCATAAATCTTACTATGTGTTTATTTAGTTATTTTTTTCCAATCTTGCCAGGAGGCATATTTGGGGTGGGGGAGGAGGAGGGAGGGAAGGATCATGCTTCAATCCCTTCTCTTCCAACCCTCCTTCCTCTCGGGATTTTGCGCACATGCACCCCGCATATCTCTTGAGCCACCGTAGTATCTGGAATTTGAAATGGTGCAGTAGGACCAAATAGGACCCAGTCACCTTAACCTCCAGGCTCCAGGCTGGCTCCTAATTCTTAGAATAGCACTTTTCTATGTGGCTAGCACTGTTCTAAGTGCTTTCTAAATATTCCATCATTCAACGTAACTCCTTTCATGGTCTATAATTTATTTTAGCTCAGTAAGATACTGTGGAAAAAAATCACTTGGAGTGTATTACGTATATATTTTTTCCTTATTCTTTTTTCTCCTTCTTTTTCATTTTTCTTCCTTGGTTTGTTTTATTTGCATGCATCCTGCCCTCCCTGATTAGGGGTTGGGGACGTCAGTCTCAGTGCTGGCAGTAAGTCCCTGTCTTTTGGTGGTTCTGCTTTAATATTCAGAATATGTGAAAGATGACATTTTTAGATGGTAAGGGGCTTAGACTGAACTAGTTTTATGTGTTAAAAATAATTAAAAAAAAAATAGTTTCCAGGAAAGGAAAGCATTTGCTGAATAAAGAAAACACATACCCCTTTATCATTAGGGGATATTTGTGCCATTAGGCATATTCTCTATTCATACATGGAAAAAGTTATTAGAAATTATTTTAAATTCTGCATGGTGTATTCCCGCCCATTCCAGCATGCTCGAAGATGACCTGCAGCTCAGTGACAGCGAGGACAGTGACGGTGGACAGGTGAGTTTTCTGTAGCCCTTAACACCTGGAATCCTTGTAAATCCATCTGTCAGAGCTGAGCTGCTTATCCTAACCTGTTTTTTGTTCTTTTCCTGGTCTTTCTCCCCCTTACTGTGAATGGCTAGACCCCAGAGAAGCCTCCTTCCTCATCTGCACTTCCAAGGTATTGTGTGTGGATATCCCCCCATCTTACGTTTGCCCTTTTTTTTTTTTTCTTTTTTTTTCCTTTTTTTGCCAAATGAGAAAAATAAGCCTTATTTAGTACTTTCTTACTAAGCTGTGACTCCAGTTCACAGTTACAGGAAAGTACCCGTTTTCTGTTTGGGAAGCTTAAATCAGCCTTGGGGTGTTAACTCTATAAAAGCAACAGAGACCCCAAGCCCACCTGTATCCATCAGCCTGGCCGTTTGAAACTGTTCACGAGTTTAAAAATAAGCTCTAAAACAGTTTATCATCAGTATTGTATACTCAGTATTCGAAAAGTTAAACTGAAGAGTCTAGTGTTTTTATGAAGGTGACAGATTTGCTATGTGTTTAAAAAAAAGAGAGAGAAGCTGAATTCTACCTACAATAGAACTTGTTTTCCGCTGTGTCTGTTTTCTTACTTACAAATCGTTAAGTTGTTTCAGCTGCTTTCAAAAACGACCCACGATCCCTTTTAGTGTGGTGAAAAATGGCCTGTTTTCACTCTGTAAAAAAAAAGCTAGCCATGTGTTTTTTAGAAAATGTGATGCTTTTAAATTTTGGAAATAGGAGTTATCTGAACTACTCACATAAACTGGTACTGGATTTAAAGTTTTTAATATGCCAAATACCTGCCTTTCATGGACAAAGAGTTAAATTACGATTTCTTTTTTTATTGGTCAGAGGGTGCATGCGTTTGCCAGAGAGAGTAGGGTGTGCTCACGCTGCAATCCCTTTCCTGCAATTCCCTAGCCTGTCGGGGGTTTGGGCAGACATGTACCTGGTGCCCAGCATGTTTTTCAAGCTGCCCTTCTGGGATTTCTGCCTCAGTTCCCAGTGCATGGCGCTTAAGCACTTCACTATAGAGCCAGGTCAGTTATATTATTCCCTGCCTTGAGATGTGCTTATCCACATGAGACAATACCAGCCATCACAACTTCCTTATCCTACAGGCGATATAGTTAGTGTGGAGAAAGTCTGTGTCATTATACAAATTCTTACCGACTTACTGGGTTTGCTTATATATATCCCATTTTGTTTCAGTAATTTCTGCTGGGTTATGACAGCTAATAAAAATAGGATATAGTAAGCTAACAGGAGTGGAGGAACAGGTGGGGATTAGAGCCAGGAGTAAACTTTGGAAGTGTATCCCATTCTGAACATCACTGGCCACAAACTTTGCGTAGCATTATATGTGAGGAGATTATGTAGTGCTATCATGTGTTTTAAAATGACTTCAACCAGTGATTTTATTTATTATTAACTCTTATTCTAATATTATGCTACTGTGTGATATTTAATAAAATGTAATATTTTAGGTAGATTTGGGAGCTTTCCATTAGGACAATGTTTTAAGATTATATACGCTTTGAAATGTGTCTGGTAGTATGATCAGTATGTGTTTTCTTACTGACCTACAGTTATTGCCCTACTCTTAAACCTGGAGTAATTATGGGCCAGTAGGTGGTGTGGTGGTTAAGGTGCAGGATCCCATATGGACAGCTCCATGGTTCAAGTCCCAGATCTGGTGGCTTGAAAGCCACACCAGGCACATATACACAGTGCCCAAAAATCCTAAGAGGAGAGTGGAAGAGAAGGGATTGCAATGTGGCCGTGTACCCCTAGGGGATGATTTCTCACTTTCTCTCTCTCTCTCTGGCAGGCACATACACCCTATGGCCAAAAACAAAACAAAACAAAACAAACAAAAAAAAAAACCAACAACAACAGAAAAGCAAAACCAAAAACTTGGAGTAGTCATGGGCCAGCAGGTGGCATAGTGGTTAAGGCACTTAATCCCACATGGCTGAGTCTGTGATTCAAGTCCCAGACCTGGTGGCTTGAAAAACATACCTGGTACATATACATGCATGCCAAAAATCCTGAAAAGAGAATGGAGGAGAAGGGGATGCAGCATGATCATCCCCCGCTGGGGAGTGATCTCTCACTTTCTCTCTCTCTCTGTCTCTCTCTCTGGTGAGCACATGTGCCCTATGGCAAAAATCTAAAAAAAAAAAAAAAACAAAACAGAGAAACAGAAAACTTAAAGTAGTTAATCACTACTTTGGCTGATATTTAAGGATGGTACCTTAGCCATTCACAAAGAGTGACCCATTTTATACATTTTATAATTCTGCCCAGGAAGTGGGAATGATTGCTTTGAGCTGGCCTTCCAAAAGGAACACTGTTTATAATCAGTAGACTTCGGCTGCCATATAGCTAGTTTTCTTACAGAGAAGATGGGGAGATTTTGACTTGTTGGCTTTTGTTTTACAAATTAATTTCCTTGAGCTGTATATCACAGGGGTCAGGAAGCTTAGCGAGTTGGATGGTAAATATTGCAGGCTTTGCAGGCCATGTCACTCCCAGTGCAGTTACTCGAGTCTGCTGTCACTGCATTGAAGCAGGTGTAGACAGCGTGTGAAAGAGCGGATGTGCGTGTGCTCTACCCAGACTTGACGTGGAAGCGTGGGCTGGAATTCAGCTCAGGCCACTGTTTACCAGCCTTGACCCAAAGCCCCGAGCACCTCACTTAAACTTTGTGTAGCTAGAAGGATGTTTTTCAGGAATAAAATTCCACAAGCTAATCTTCTATGCAGTCATTTGGTGTACAGTTTTAAGGGCTTTATGCTTTTGTTCGTTTGTTTGAAACCTTCGTGGGCATCTACTGGATGATATAGTAGCTGAGTTGTTTTAGGTAATACGGGGGCCCTTCCTTTCGAGTAACAGAAAAATGGGCAGGAGGTTAAGAGGAGGGAGACCCACCTTGCATGGTGCCTTCTAATTTTATCCTCTGGTCGCTTTGCAGTGCTCCGCAGACGCTTCCAGAACCAGTGGCATTAGCACATTCCAGTAGTGCGGAGTCAGAGAGCACAAGTGACTCCGACAGCTCCTCCGACTCGGAGAGCGAGAGCACATCAAGTGACAGCGAGGAGAATGAGCCTCTGGAAACCCCGGCTCCTGAGGTACTGCGTCCCCCTCGTCCCCCTCCGGAAAGCCGCCCAGCTTAGCGGCATTCTGTCTTTGGGGGCTATGGTCTGTGAGCACAAGACCGAGTGGTTCCATCCCTCCGAGCGGCGCGCCCCTGCTCTGCAGCGTGCAGGGCCACGTGCTTCCGTTTGCTGATTTCCTCCTGACTACTTGGCAGCAAAGATCTGGGAAAGTGGTCTTCTCTCACCTCTTTAAAATATTAGTTTCTTCTCTGTCATTGCTAGGGTCTGAAAGAGCAACTAATTAAGAATGTTTGCACACCATCTTCCTTTCCCTTTTTTGCAGAAGATGGCTTATTTTTGGTAGGCTGCTGTTTTAATATTAATGAGAGTTCTTTCTGAAATTGCCGGAATGCATGAATTAGGGAAAGACCGCCTGATTTAGCAAAGGGCAGGAACGCGAACGAGAGAGAAGTCATCCGAGTTCTATTTTTGAATCACTAAAAGCCATGCGTTGAATGGATGGCAGAGGGGTGTCGCCAGGGCTCTGTTTCTTTCCCCCCTCCACCCCACATGGGACAGGGACAGCCATGTTTGCATGTCGCTCTTTCAGGAGAGGTTGGAAAGAGAAACCAAGCGCTGAGACTGCAGAGCCCAAACATTAAATTTATATGGAGGATTTAAACCATGTACTGGATTGTTGAGCACAAGAAATTGCTAGTAATAACTGACAAGGTTGCCAGATAGCCCTGCAAACAGGAATGTAGAAATTATACCGGGAAAGCCGTGAAAAGGGAAGGTGTGTTTACTTTCTTTTTTGTGAACAAGACCAGAGCCCATAGAGCAAAAAATATTCTGCACATTTAAGATGGTAGCGTCAGGAAATTTAGGCTCTTGGATTAAGAAGGCATTAGTGTTTTTGCGTTTGCCTCTGCTCCTTAGAAAGCAAGGCAGTTCCAATAAGATCGTTAACCAGATGCCCCTGCAGATCACATTGGGAGACTCCTAGGCCTTGTCAGGTCCGGGAGACTGAGAACATCACTGGGGAGCATTTTTTTTATTAGCTGTGAATCTTGTCTGGCACAGAAAAAGTGCTCAATGTTTTCTGGAGCACCTGGGTGTGCACGGGGCAGCGTTAACCGCACTTGAGTGTTTCTCAGATTTTAGAAACAACCGTGTGTTTCTCGGGCTCTTTGTAACCTCATAGGATAGTAACTGATATATTGAAATCTTCATGTCTCCCAGGGAAAGGGATGTTGACTGTGCTATGCTGACAAATAGTGCAATATTCACCGTGGAGGTTTGGAAAATCTTTGCATGAGGAAGATAAAGAAATAATAAAATGCAATTAAAATACAATGGAAATGGGACTGACTCATTTGGCTGGAAAATGAGAAGTTGAAAAAAATAGAATCTGATGTTTCTAGTAATTTCTTTGGCCTCAGACAGTTACTTCTTTGGCTTAAGATGGACACTTCCTGGATGTAAAATAGATGCCCCCATCCTGCTTTATTTTTAAATCGCTCTGCTAAAAAGGAGCCCACGTCCGTGGAGAGTAACGTGAATTCTGTAACTGGCTGTAGATATTAGTTTTAACTTTACCCATTTCTATTTTTAATGCTGAGAAATCTGCTTTTCTGGCTCCCTTTTAAGTTATTTCATTTGTTGAAGTGGTCCCAGTAATCTCGTGAGATCCGGAACATGATATGCATGCTGATGGGTAATAAACTTGGGTGTGATCTGTGGATTTCACCTCTGATGTTTACAATGTGAATCAAAATGTCAGTTTCAGCTTTTCAAACCCTGTGGGGCTGTTGCCTTTTCCTGCATGCATAAAGTTCAAAAACCTCGATTTTGGGACCAGCAGTTAATGTAATGGCTACATCGCTGGACTCCCATCCCACATAGTCTATTGTGGTTCGCGTCCCAGACCCGGTGGCTTAAAACTCACGCTGGGCGCGTGTGTGTGCCCAAGATCCTGAGAGGAGAAAGGACAAGAAATGATTGTGGCATGGCCATCCCCCCGGGGGAGGGTGATTTCTCGCTTTCTGTGTCTCTGTCTGTCTGACGAGCGCACGCGCCCTATAGCAAAAACCTCTCCAAAAGAAAAAAAAAACTTGATTTTATACTCAATTATTCAGAGCTTTTCCCTTTGTTCCTTGTCCCGGCCTTTGGTAGTAAACCACCTTGAGTTGATTTCTGCTGGCCTCTTGGGGCTTGTTCATAAATTATCTGATTGACCACCCCCCCCCATTAACCCTCCAAGGTCAGTAGCTTTCTTTTGCCTATAACGAAGTAGCAGGGGTGCTATCAGGTGGTGAGTGCATGCCCAAAATTCCAGTGGAGAAGAAGGGATTGCGGCATGGCCATCCCCTCCTGTGAGTTTTCTCACTTCCTCTCTCCCTGTCTCTCCAGCCAGCACATGTGCCCTATGGCAAAAACCTAAACAAATAGAAACAACAGGAATTCAAATGCCAAGCCATTTAAATCTGAAACATATTTTTTTCACTACAGCTTCTATTTTGTTTCCTCCCTGCCATGCCTGCATTTATTATAAATCTCTGTGTTAGTTGAGGGTAATGTAAATTTCATAACCAGCATAGATACTGTTTGTAACTTTCTCAGCCTTTATTTCTTCTAATATCTTTTTCATCTTAACATAAACCTTTTTTTGGTGGTCAGCAGGTGGCATGGTGGTTAAGGCACTGGACTCTCACCTGGCCAACCACAGTTTGAGTCCTGAACTCAGTAGCTTGAAACTCGATGCTGGGCACACATTGTGTAGGTCCCCAAAATGCCAAGGGGAGAGCGGGAGAGATGAGATTGCTGCAGGGCCATCCCACAGGGAGGAGGCGGAAGCGGGGTGGGGATTTCTCACTTTCTCTTTTACTGTCTCTCTCTGGTGAGTGCACACACCCTATGGCAAAAACCTTCAAAACAAAATAAAACAGTTTTTACTCATATTCCCCCAACTCAGAAGTTTTACTATGAAAGGGGTGGGAGATGAGGAAAGGCAGAGGGAGAAATGAACTCTAAACCCTGATCTCATCTGGCATATACCCACTTAAAATCTCTTTTTCTGTTTTTGGAGAGAGAGGTTTATTGCCTTAGGGTACATGCATTATCAGGGTGAGAGAGAGAGAGAGACGCCGAGAGAAAAAATGAGAAATCCCCCTCCCCCGAGTAGGATGGCCACACTGCGGTCCCTTTTCCTCCATTCTTCTTCCCGGATCTTGTATGTACACACACATGCCTGGTGTGAGTTTCAAGCTACCTGGTCTGGAACTTGAACTGCAGTTGGCCATCTGGGAGTCCAGTGACATAACCACTGTGCCATCTGCTGGCCCCTAAATCCTATTTATTTATTTAATAGCTATTTTTGCTAGAGGGCATGTGTGCCCAACAGAGAGACAGAAAATGTGAACTTACCCCCCAAGGGAATGGCCATGCCACAGTCCCTTCTCCATTCTCCTCTCCCGATTTTGGGCATGCATGTACACACACTCAGCGTGAGTTTTAAGCCGCGGAGTCCAGGACTTGAATTGTGGTTGACTGTGTGGGAGTCCAGTGACGTAATCATTATGCCATCTTCTGGTCCCCCCCTAAATCCTATTTTTAATCAACGCTTTATGCAAACATTTCTCCCATCTTAACATTTCAATAATATCTGACTTTAAAACAACTTTAGACATTTTGCAACTTTCTGTTGGCTACCTTGTTAAAAAGGATGGCCCCTACCCGTTTCATGTCTGGGCATACCAACTTAGCCTTACCCAAAATGTGGGCCACAGGCCTGCCTTCTGGACGTTTTTAAGACTACAGTGGAAGGAGATGGTTTATTTCTATAACCAGGACATTCCTTTAGGGACTCCAAAACGAATCTCAGTAGTGTCCTGTTTGGGGTCGAGGGGAGAGGGAGTGGATGTTATTTATACCTGAATGGCTTCCCTTTGGGTCACACAAGCATACTCTTTAAGGAGCATGTCAGTGATTAGGATACAGCTGTGTACAGAGCCGGGGGGTGAGATCTGTCCATACCCTGCCTGAGGACAGGTGTGACTCCTCAGTTCCTACCCACCATTGCCGGGCGATACACCTTCCTGCCTAGCCCATGGCTCACCACCAGTGTTACCACGCCCTCCAGCCTTTGCAGGACACCGGTTGGACAAGTGGGCATTGCCTGCTCATCTTTTCTCTGCCCTGAGCAATCATCTGCCGTGTTAGATTAGTGAGTACAGCTTTAGGTTACGTGTGACAGAATGCCTGGCACACGCAGTGGTGTCCTTCCCTCCCTCCCTGCCTGAAATGCAGATGAGAGCATGTGCGTGTACATGGAGCTGATATAGCTGGAAAGGAGACGTGTTGTCATATGCACAGTGTGGGGTAAGCAGGAAAAAGGGATTCTGTCCAAAGTAGGTTCCCATTGGGTTTCCTAAAGTTCCTCTTAGCTCTGTTCCGTTACCATCACACGAAGCCCAAACCGCTTACCTGATCAGCACATGGCTTAACCTTTTCCTGACCATAGAGACTTCGCATCAACATATTTTGTATAGGTTTGCATGTTTTTATAGAGTCGTTTAGTGTATTCCACTTGGGAAATTTGTCAGCAGTTTTCTTTTTCAAAATGCTCCACCTCCTGGGTTGATTTCTTATTCATAACTTTTTTTTTTTTTTTGGAGAGGTTTTCGCTATAGGGCACGTGTGCTTGCCAGACAGACAGAGAGAGACATAGAGACAGAAAGTGAGAAATCACCCCCCAGGGGAGATGGCCACGCCACAATCCCTTCTCCTCCATTCTCCTTTCGGGATCCTGGGCACGCACGCACACCCGCCCGGCGTGAGTTTTAAGCCACCTGGTCCGGGACACGAACCGCGGTCGACTACGTGGGAGTCCAGCGACATAGCCATTACGCTAACTGCTGGTTCCCAAGAATTCTTTCTTTTTTTTTTAAAGAGAGATTTTTGCTGTAGGATGTATGTGCTCGCCAGAGAGATAGAGACAGAAAGGCAGAAAATGAGAAATCGAGAAATCACCTCCCAGCAGGGCTGGCCCCACCATAATCCCTCCTCCTCCATTCTCCTCTCCAGATTTTGGGCTGACAGGCACACACGCACGTGTGAGTTCAGTGATGTAACCATTATGTCATCTGCTTGTCACAAATTATTTCATTTCTTTTTTTTTAAATTTATTTTGTTAGTTTGACTTTGACCAGAGAGAAAGAGAGAAAGAGAGAGGGAAAGTGAGATGGCAGGCTGTCAGGTCTGGAACTCGAACCATAGTCGGCTTCGGCTGTGTGGGAATCCAGTGCCCTAACCACCATGCCACCTGCTGGCCCCTTGTCTGTAAGATACTCAGCTAAACATTATGTGGGTTATCTTTTAGCTGACTTCCTGGTTGTGCATATAATTCTGTCATCTATGTCACCTGTCAGAATGACTGGAAAAAATCGGAAGGAAGCCAGTGACCTTTCCACATATACATTTTTATACGGTTTTTAGGTAAATAAAATGAAGAGAAGTCATTTTCAATTGGAAAATGTGTCAAAAAAATAGCGTGAAATCTTGGATAATCACCAAGACTTAGTTGATTAATTAGTTGCCGTCTATAAATCCACAATAAAAGGATTCTTTTTCTCCATTTTCCTCTATTATTCTCTAACAGAGTAGTTTTTAAGCCATAGTGTGTCAGTTCTGTGTAAATTATACTGTAATTACCGTTAGAACACAATATTTATATGACAAAGATTTCTCAGCAGCTGTTAATGGCCTGCTAGTATCTACTCAGCAGTGGTCCCAAATTACACAAAAAAATGGAAGACTGTCTTAAGAGTCGTTAGCGAATATGACTTCTAGTTTGAAGAGGATAAATGGAACCTAAATTCTTAGGACTGGAGTAACGACCTCCCCCAAGGACAGTCCTGTGTTATTGGGTGACTAACAAAAGCATAGTTTCTCACTCCTGCTCAGTTAACACTTTTCTGTCTTTTCTTATTTTTAGCCAGAGCCTCCAACGACGAACAAATGGCAGCTGGACAACTGGCTGACCAAAGTCAGCCAGCCAGCCGTGCCGCCAGACGGGCTCGGGAGCTCGGAGCCCCCGCGGCGGCGGCAGGAGAGTAAGGGCGGAGGTGACGGCGGTGGCAGCGGGAGCCAGGAGCACTCCGAACCCAAAGGTCTTCCCCCCAAAGGCTCCAGCAAAGCCCCCCGGGGCCCTGCCGAGGGCCCGCACCCCGGAAAGAGAAGCTGTCAAAAGTCTCCTGCAGAACAGGAGCCCCCACCCAGGCAAACCGTCGGAACCAAGCAGCCCAAGAAACCTGCCAAGGCACCTGGCCAGGCCGACTCTCGAGCCAGCCTGCAGGTGGAGAGCGAGCCTGGACTCCCCTATGGCTCCAAGGAGCAGACTTCCAAAGACAAGCCCAAGGTGAAGACGAAAGGAAGGCCCCGGGCTGGAGGGAGCAGAGAGCCCAAGCCAGTGGCTCCCGCCCCCACTGAAAAGAAGAAGCACAAGAGCCCCCTACCCGCCCCCGCCAAGGCGGTCCCAGGCCCAGAGCCCGCCAAGGACGATGTGGAGGCTAGGAGCCCTGAGCACGTTGCTCTCGTGCCCCTGACTCAGAGCCAGGGCCAGGCCCGTGGTGGTGGCAGTGGCGGTGGCAGGACTAGTGGCTGCCGGCAGGCCGTGGTGGTCCAGGAGGACACCCACAGGGACAAGCTCCCCGTGCCTTTGAGAGACACCAAGTTGCTCTCTCCGCTCAGGGACACTCCTCCCCCTCAGAGCTTGATGGTGAAGATAACCCTAGACCTTCTTTCTCGGATACCCCACCTCCCTGGGAAGGGAAGACGCCCGAAGAAGCCCGAGGATAAGCAGCTGCCTGCGGGGAGGAAGCACAGTTCTGAGAAGAGGAGCTCAGATAGCTCAAGCAAGTTGGCCAAAAAGAGAAAGGTGTGTGTGGGGACCAGGCCGGTGTTGCAGCAGCACCACCCGGCTCTTGGCCTGGATTCTCTGGCCTGCCTGCACCTAAGCCCAGCTCTGCCTTACCTTGGAATCTGCATCGGGTGGATGCTCCCTGCTCTGGGCGGGCGGGGACAGTGTCAGCTTCCTTACTAGCCTTGCTAGTTTGAAAAGAGGTGAGGCTGTCATTGGGAAGGAAAGCTTTTTTACATTCTTTTCTTCTTTTTTAAAAATTATTTTATTTAACTTATTTATTTTAATTTGACTAGAGAGGGACGGGAGTGGGGTGGGGAGTGAGAAAGGAAGCCGCCAGGTACAGGACTCGAAACATGGTTGGCCATGTGGGAGTCCAGCACCCCTTGCCACCTGCCAACCCCTTCTTTTTTAATTGCCAGAGGGAATGTGCAGGAGACTGAAAAAGGGGAAGAAAGCACCCCCCCTTTGGGATATGGTCGCACCCCAATCCCTTCTCCATTTTTGCATCCTGTTAGGATTTGTGCATGCAGACACACACACTCTCAAGTGGTTTCCAAACTCCTGGGCACAGTGGGCTATGTGAGGTCTTGCTCTCTTAACTGTGAAGCTATTGGGCTGGCCCAGAATAGCATCTTTGGGGCTAATACAGCATTTGGGGGTACATTTTTATTTGTTCCAGTAGCACTGGCAATCTAGGCAGTTATGGTACATTGTGAAGTTCTGAACATCTGCCATCTTATTTACCAGAGTTTTTGGAAGTTTTATTTAAGGAACGGATATAGTAAGAAAAAGTCCCTGCTTTAAAGACCCTCTGTTGCTTGGACATACTGCTATTTTAGACAGCCTTCTTCCTTTATTGTACATCATTGAGTTCTCGATCTATTTTTGCTTCTTTGTGATGATGAATGGCTGTGAGTTTTTTCCCATTGACATTCCCAAGCCAACTTGCCCAAGCAGCGAGACAAAGGCACAAGAAGGGTCAACTATCCTGCTGAGAAGGAATGAAATTTTTAGCACTCTTATAAACACATGAAAAACTTCTTCCTCAGCTAAGTTGAGCTTCCTCAGGTGGAAATTGAGCTAAAAATAACAAAAGAGAGAAAAAAAACACATAAAGCCTACCGTCATGCCTGGGATTCGGCTGATTAGTTCAGTGTGTTAAAAATACAACATGGCTTTACCACATAGTTAAGGGTGACTCTGGAGCCTTGCTGCGTGAGACAGGAGGGGATCTCTGCTAATTGGTGATGCTGTTTCAGCTAGAAGAGGGCATAATTTTATGCCAGAAAACTTAAAACTTAAGGGAACCAGCAGTTAGCGTAATGGCTATGTTGCTGGACTCCCACGTAGTCGACCGCGGTTCACGTCCCGGACCCGGTGGCTTAAAACTCACGCCGGGCGCGTGTGCGTGCGTGCCCAAGATCCCGAGAGGAGAATGGAGGAGAAGGGATTGCGGCGTGACCATCCCCCCTGGGGGGTGATTTCTCGCTTTCTGTCTCTATGTCTCTCTCTGTCTGTCTGGCGAGCGCACGCGCCCTACAGTGAAAATCTCTCCAAAAAAAAAAAAAAACCTTAAAACTTAAGAAAAATGGGATGAGTATGTGTATACATTGATGATATTAAACTTCACAGAGGAAATTGTGACGGACCTTGTTAGGGAAAAGGCATCTGTATCCGTTGGCCAGCCAGTGGCGTGGAGGCCGAGCTCTAAATCTCATATGGTCAAATGCATGTTCTAAGTCCCACACCTGGTGGCTTGAAGAACATGCCAGGCATGTGTGTGTGCTTGCCCAAAATCCCACGAGGAGAATGGAGGAAAAGGGATTGCAGAATGGGCATGTCCCCTTGGTTGGGGGAGTCTTTTCTCACTTTTCCTCCCTGTCTCTCTGGTGAGTGGACACACCTTACAGCAAAATTTAATAATAATTTAAAAAAATAATAAAAGAACATCTGTACCTATTGTACCATAGAAAGCTCTAAGAATGCTCTCTTTGACCTCCTCCTCCGGGCAGGCTTTCCCAGGTGCCATGGTCTTTTTTTTTTTTTTTTTTTTTAGCTTTCCCCCCCTCCCTGGTTTTTTTTTTTTTTTTTTTTTTTTTTGGAGAGGTTTTTGCTATAGGGCGCACGCCAGAAAGACAGAGAGAGACTGAGAGATAGAAAGTGAGAAATCACCCCCCAGGGGGGATGGCCATGCCACAATCCCTTCTCCATTCTCCTCTCGGGATCTTGGGCACATATGCACACACGCCCGGTGTGAGTTTAAGCCACCGGGTCCGGCACTCGAACTGTGGTCAACTACATGGGAGTTCAGCAACATGGCCATTACGCTAACTGCTGGTCGCCCCAGCTGCCATGCTCTTATAGAGCCTCCAGTGCTGATAACTCTGCATCAGTTTGAGTTGGGAGAAGCATTCATTTCTAAACCTTCTATGCTCCAGGAGGAAATGTTAGAAATTGGAGGAGCTTGCAGAGTCCTCAGCCCAGTCCATACGCCAGTGCAAAGCTCGACGTGTCCCTCGCGACTCTGGAAGGGAAACCTCTGGCTCCCCCTGTGCGCCCTGACAGCCATTGCCAGGCGTTGGCTTGGCTCTCCTAGGACTGCTTGTTCACCTTCCTGTTTAAAACATTGAGAAATGATGACCCCTCATCTTAATAGAGTACATGATTTCTTTAAAACTCTGGCAAGCAGCTGAGGACCAGTCTATCCTGGTGATACAGAGAGAACCAGGGTCTGGCCCAAGGTCCGATCCAAACCCTGACTCCACATTTCTTTTCCCTGGGGAATGCTTAGGACTGATGGCAGCCCCCCTCCCCAACCTCCCATTGGCATCTTCAGAATTCCTTACCCTGTGCTGGTGCTAAGGCTAGGACCACTGACTATGAGCCTTCCCACAGCGCCCAAACTGGACAGCACTCGTCCTGTGGGCAGGCGGACTCCTCTGCTGGGCTGGGCTTACGGACCCAGCAATCAGGAGTTCCTTGCCCGGAGTATGCTGTGCATTAGAGACGTTACTTAGCTTTCAGGTAAATGCATACAAAAGCCATCCAAGTGCATACTTACTCGTGATGGAGAATCATGTGTCCTTTGATGGTGTTACTTCCTGCCAAGCGCCAGGTGGGAGGGATTGAGCAGGTTCTCAAATCTCAAACCCTTCCCTGTGCAGGGCAGGCTCTTGCCCTGTGACAAGCTCCAGGGGTACAGCCTACCATGGGGGCCACCTCCCTAGCAGAGGCAGGACTGGCATCTTTTTAAGGTTGGGTGCTTACCCCAAATTTTAATAGTAAGCCTTTTAGAATTTTCTGCACTTGAAGTGTGAGCAGTGGCAAAAGCTGTCTGAGCACGTGGTCAGAGCAATCGAAGAATGCAGTGACCCTTCCACGAGGAGAATTTCATGTTTTCATCTATAGGCCCTTAAGAGTCTGTCCTTTTCCTGGGATCATGTTTAACAGATATTTTCAGGAGTTTGCCGGTGCTTTAAACCACCTTAGAACTAAAAGCATGTGAAGATAATTATAGAAAGTTCAAGGTCGTCATCAGCTGTGACAGAGCCATTAGCTGTGGCACCCGCAGAAACACACACATATTTTTTTCAACTTTAAAGGAGAGGGGAAGAACTCATTCCTGAGGAAAGGTGGAGACTGTGAGGGCAAATAGGTACAAGCTGGCCTAGGGCTCCTTACATCAGTAACCACATTTCATCTGACCACTGTTTAGGATTTGAAATACCAATGCATATTTTCTTCTATGTCAGTCTTTAGTTTTTAAACACTTCCCTTTATTCATGATGAAGTGTGTGTGTACATGAAAGAGGGAGGGAGGGAGGAGCACCCTCCACAGGGGCTGATCACACCATGATCCAGTCTTCCAGCCTGTTGGATCCTGGGCACCTGCACACATGCCTGGCAAGTTTCAGGCTGACTGGGTCGGAGATTAGAACAGTGGCAAGCCAAGTTAGACCAGCTTCCCCATGGCATCACTTTGCTGCTGCACCATAGAGCCAGCCCTTTTTTATCTAAAAATTATTACATTTTTAGATTTTTGTCATAGGGTACTTGTGCTTGCTGGAGAGAGACAGACAGGGAAGGAAAGTGAGAAATCACCCTCTGCTGGAATGGCCATACCGTAATCATATCTCTTCCATTCTCCTCTTAGGACTTCGGGCATGCACGCACATGTGCCCAGTGTGTTCTTCAAGCTGCCAGATCCTGGACTCGAACCATGCACTTGACCATGTGAGATCCAGCCCTTTAACCACCATACCACCTGCTGGCCCCTCTTTTATATATTTCTTATGACTTAATGCACAATCAGGCCTGTGCAATTGGGAACATTCTAGAAATGTACCTGTGCATCTGGAGCTTTGTGATCCTCACATTGCTCTGGGTGCTCTCGTAGATAATTTCATTCATTTCTGTCATCGTGTCAAACCACCTTTCGTGTCTAAATAGTCAATTAGACACATAACTTCAGCATCCCTTCAACTCTTTCTTTTCCTAAGTAATTGCTTACTGACCAAGAAACTTTTTGAGAAACAGATGTCAGCATCATCACTATGTGTGTTTTGAGGAGTGAGGAAGGGGAGTTGGGGGGATGAGTGGGAAAATGCGCATTTTAGTTGCGCAGGGTGGTTGGTTGAGTCCTTCCCTTTCCGTACTTGACTTGACTGCCTCTTCTTAGAGTGTTTCTCCAGAACAGCTTCCCAGTGATTGATCTTCAAAATCAAGGGTTTAGAGACTTGTTCCTTATCATTTGTTAGAGCTACATTAATCTGATTTTTCTTTTTAAGAGGTTTTTGCACTAGAGGGCCTGTGCTTGCCAGAGAGAAAGAGAGACAGAGACAGTGAGAGGGAAAGTGAGAAATCACCTCCCAGGGGGCATGGCCACGCCACAATCCCTTCTCCTGGGATGTTGGGCACGCACGCACATGTGGCCAGTGTGAGTTTCAGGCCACTGGATCTGGGACTCAAATCATGGTTGGCCATGGGGGGTGCCCAGTGACATAACCACTACGCCA